TGTCACATGTTTCACAATTGGCCAATAATAACGTGTTATTCAATTTCATGTGACGACCAATCACGAGAAAGTTATCCCCCTGTTGCTGAGCTCACATGAGATTGGTAGTGTTACACAAATATGCAAGTGAAGACAGACAGAAAATTCAAAGTTACGTTTTTTGAAATTCTTATTATGGATGCATCAGGAACAATACTTTTGAAGCATCAAAAATGTAACTTTTGTATCACTTTGCATAGAGATTGAGCGTCCTCCGCTACGCCCCGGACAATAACGTAAAAAATTTTGGGTCTTGCTATTTTTCACAATATTTGTATTCAAAAAAGGAGAATACCAGCCTAAGCTAATTACAGATAAACTCGACGGGTTGATTCACGGGTTTAACCCACAGGTTGATTCATGGATTGACCCGTTAACCTTTACCCGGGTTGGTGCAATTGCAACCCGATACCCGACCAATCCGTGGGTAACCCGTCCAATTTCTACTGAAAATGTATTTTCATTATTTTGTACATATGCTTATTACAATTTATGTTTCAAATTAAGAGAAAACTGGATTATACGCGTTATCGATATACTGTTTCAAAAGATTTTATAATAATACTGATTGATTAATAATAAAATTCGGTAAAGTTGAGGGCCATACACTTAGATTTGACGACCAAATTTCAGCCACCGCAATGATCAAATATTGATTTTTTTATCTAGTTTATCGGCGCTAAAATATTACGCATCATACATCATCTCCGCTATCATTTTCTATTTCTTCCAGATCTATCTCCTCTTCGTCATCATCATTCTCGCTTTCTTCATCTTGCACGATGGAGACAGTTTTCTGCAAATATGAGAGCATTAAATTATTGATTGAATAAAAGTTATACAAAATTCATTTAAACGTACATCTGTTGTACATATATTGCTTTCGAAAGGACTTATTGTTTCTTTAAATGAATTTCTTATTCCTGCATTGGTTGACAAATCCCAAATGTGTACTTTCCCCCCTGAACCAGCTACCGCCAAATGAAAAGGTAGGTCTAAACAAAATTGCGCAGCAAAAACTTTTCCCTTTAAATATGTATCAAATTGCAGAAAGCATGTTAAAAAAGGATTGATTGCAATAATAAGTAATTAAGTAAATCATTTCTGATAACGAAATGACGTACCACGCCCAAATCTCGGCTCGTGACAATAGATGGTTTCGTATCCTTAATATTCCAAACCTTCACCATTTTATCCGTTGATCCAGTAACTACACATCCTCTAACCGATCGATTTACATCCAAAGATGTTACAGCAGCATCATGCGCATGTAATGTGAAGACTGGCGCTGTCTTGACAGAGTTTCTCGTGTCAAAACACAAAACCAACCCAGATTCTGTACTCACGTAGAAATACTGAGGAGTAAATGGATCCCAGCGTACACATTCTGGATCCGCATCTCCGAGACTCCAAGATGCGACATTTTTAGGTGTGCGACTATCAAATACAACCACAGTTTTATCAAAAGATGCGGTTAGCATGATGGTAGGCTCAATGGAATGCCATTCCACTTGTTGTACCTATCAACATTTGAAAAAATCTTTTATTATTTGTTACAAGTGGAAATTGATGATAGCAATAAATACTTTGTCTTTGTGATATTCAAACGAATGTGCGCATTTTAATGATTGAAGGTCCCATAATTTTACAGTTGAATCGGCAGAAGAGCTAGCTAACAGGTTTCTTAAAATTTTCATTAAAATTAGTGAAGAGGAGGTAAAATTATATTGAAATAATAATTATATAGACCTATGATGTTTATTCCATGATAATCCCATGACTGCATCTGTATGGTATTCTGAATTAGGTTTCTAGAATACGAATAATAATAATTTTAAGAGTGTAAAAAATGTTGGGATCATAAATATATTAAGTTTTCTATTTATTACCTTCTTCTTTTTCTTCTTAAGTTCTTTATTTGGTCTGCCTAATATTGCGTCAGGATACATTGAATTCGATACGTCCAAATCCCAAATCTCGATTTCAGGCTCGAATGTCCCTATTGCAACATAATTGCCGCTGCCATCCAACCCTTTTTTTCTACCTAGTCGAAAATCCAACCATTCCAAACAAAGAGGAAAAGATGGCAACATAATGTCGTTATGCACATAGAGATTATCCTCAGATTCTTCATAAACATATATTTCTAGTTGTGAAACCTCATCTTCGGTCTTTGCTGCTACTAAAACACTGTCTGTGGCCAAAATTCGAAAATCATCAGTTTCATCATCCTTTTTAAATACATTCAGAGACGTTAGATTATGATTCATGAAGAAAATGAACAATTACAATCCTGCTATAATCTGATTCTTTTATGAACTACCTCGTCATTGAGGGTAATATATGGGTCTTCTTCATTTGACGTGTAATACGCTAATCCTTTTATATTTCCGAATATCGACATGGCTAATTAAAATTTAATAATCAATCGATACTTTAATTTGTTGCAAGAGTAAATGCGCAGCAAATTTAATATTCAAAAGCGCACAAACGTTGTCCTTCTTCCTCATCCTCCTCATCGTATTGATCTAAATTGTATTCTAATAGCTCCGAATCATCATTAACATCAGTCATGTTGACATCATGACTTTTTAAAAATAGAAATAAGAATAAAAAAACCCCCAGATTTAGTAAATGCTATATTTTTGTCAATAACGTCGTTGAATAGGGAATGCCTTTCATTTTCACGTCATTACTTTTTTTTTTAAAAAAAAAATTAAGTGCTATATTTTTGTCAATACATCGTCGAATAGAGTATTACCTTTCTATTTCGACATCATGACTTTTTAAAACAAAAAAAAAAAATAGTAAATGCTATATGTTTGTTAATTACGTTGTTGAATAGGCTGAATAGAGTATTACCTTTCGATTTTGACATCATGACTTAAAAAAAAAAAATTAGTAAATGCTATATGTTTATTAATAACGTCGTTGAATAGGCTGAATAGAGTATTACCTTTCTATTTTGATATCATGACTTAAAAAAAAAAATTAGTAAATGCTATGTTTGTTAATAACGTCGTTGAATAGGTTGAATAGAGTATTACTTTACTAATTCGCTTTTTGTAGTAATATAGATGAAAATTTTATATTATTGTATTACATTAAAATAATATCTAGATGTAGACTAGAAGTTTGGGCTATAATTAAGCTAAATTAAGCTGACTTAAGCTTAATTTAGGCTAAATTAAATTTAATTTAAGCCAAACTTCTAATCTATACTTCAGAAAGTTTTTTTTAAAATAATAAAGTATTATATAATATAAATAATTTCTTTGATTGTATAATGAAAAAAATTACAAGCTACTAATCAAAAAAAATTATAGTTAATAGTATCTTAAAAATTTCTTATATAACATTATAAATTGTATCCTGTAAGTAAAATTTCAATTTAAAAACCTTTATATAAAGGTTAAATATAGTTATTATAATACATTTTTGTGATATTTATATTATTAATCAAACTAAATTTGATCTAAAAATCAATTTAATTTGTAAAATATATAGTTAATTATAAATTTAAACTGAAAAAAATTTAATCCGGAAGCGAAACAATGAGTAATATCTAGTCTTGTATATAATTTTTAATTTTTGATATAAGTTATAGTATAGTTAAAACTCTTGCACTTAATAATAGATTATTAATTTGTATAGTTAGAAGTTTCATCTAGTTAGAAGGTTTTCTTTTTTCTAGTAATAATTTCTTTTAGATTTTAGTATAGATTTTTACTTCTTAATATTAGTACCTGTTTTCTTTGATATATTAGTATTATTTTATTTCTTTTTTTTTGTTTTCTACTTTCTTTTTTTTTCTTTTTTCCTTCTCTACAAAAAAGTGTCATTAGTTTAACAACATTCTATTGTATGGTGAAAATCTTGATAGAATAAACAACAACCAGCCAAGAAGTTCAGGAAAAATAAGTCTAGAATAAGTTCTAGATCTCTGAAGAAGGCCAAGTGTTGCTAAACAGATCACATCTAAGTATAATATAACAGTTTAATGGTTTGTCCTAACTGCAAGTAGGTGTCACAGCACTTGCAAAATAAAACTGGATAAGTTTATATTCTGGTCAAAACATTATAAATCTAGATTTCTTATTTGTAAGAATGAAGTTCTATTCCCATAATGAAATAAACAGGATTGCCAAAAAAAAAAAAATTACATAGGCTCCTATCAGTAATATTCTTGTTTCAAAGTTAAAATCACTAAAGTAACTCTTGATATAAGAAAGTTGCTGGGTCCGGCCAAAAAACTGCCTCGATACTTACATATCGAGCAGCTATTAGTCTGGAGTACTCTATTAACAACCCTAGTGATCCCCTCTATGAGTTATCGACAATCACTCCATTCATGCGCTACGAATTCCCGGGGTACTATCGAATGCGTCGAACAAAGAGTATTACATATTAGCAAAGAAAATAATAATGAAGGTTTATACAAAGGAAAACTTTTAACAAAATTTTCGCAACAATAGATAGTCCGTATAGCCTCCAAAGTTTGTAACGTTTTTTTTTAAATCCAGATT